AGCCCCACAAGATTCTTACGCACAGTAAGCTTTGAAAATCACTGATGTAACTTTCCGCCTCATGTTTATGGAGGGAGACCTCACAGCAAATCACACAAATGACAGGTGGGCAGGGGTGAATCTGTACGCAGGGTGTTACCACAGCCCTGGTCAAGATGCAGAACATGTCCATCTCCCCAGAAAACGGCCCGTGCCCTCTGTGTGCGTAGTGACTCTAAAGAGGTAACTCCTGTTGGGGGCTCTAGCAACATGGATCAGTATTTCCTGTCTTTGAATTTCTCATGATGGGTATTTGGCTTCTCTCGCTCAGTATCATGTCATGTTGTCCACTTTTATTTTTATTATTTTTTTTAAGATTTTATTTTTATGTAGAAGAGCTGGGGTGCAGGACAGAGGTGCAGGGGGTAAGAGGATTCACCAGAGACAGAGTGGGGAGCAGAACAGGCAGATCTACTGAAATACACTGCTGAGGGGAGCAGCAGGGCGTGACAGGAGAGGTCTGCCGTGCTGTATGTGGGTCAGCTCCTTGGCTGGGGATCAGACTTAGGCCTCAGCAGTGATAGTGCTAACACTTAACCCCCAGGCCAGCAGGGAGGCCCCGTGTTGTCTACTTTTAAAGGCCAAAAAACCTTAGTCTCCACTCTCTGCACTCATCCTCCCTCAAGGTAGCTAGGTAACTGGGTGGCTAGGTGGCTGAGTAGGTAGCTAACTAGGGGGCTAGGTAATTAGGGGGCTGGGTAGCTACGGGGCAGGGTAGCTAGGAAGGGAAAAAGGAAAGAAAGAAAAGTTCTTCAGGCCTAAGCTGAAGCCCCGCTCTCTGCAGCCTCCTCCCTGCCTCCCCTTGGGCCTGTGAGGGTGATGTTGGTCACCGGCCCCCATGATTTTAGTGCCCCTGGAGGCTTGGGACCCGGCTTGGGTCTGCTCCCTGCCCGTCTCTCTCTGACGCAGCTCCTGGGGACACTCATCTGTTTTGTGTGGATTGCCAGAGTCCAAGCACATTCCAGATAAAATTGGCCAATTTAAGCTACAAATGAAAAGACAAATGAGATGGAAATTGCACGGAACAAGCCTGCTTCTCATCAGCAGGTAGCAGTCCTGACATGCTGAGCTGCGCAACCTACTTAAGCCTTTCCCTGCAGTGAGGTCGGAAGGGCTTTCCCGGCGATGGGAAACACCACCTCCTCACACCCAGCCGGGCAGAGGCGGGAGCAGCCCAAGAGGCTTGGAGAGGGTGCAGGAGGGGGCAGGCAGAGGACACAGGCTGGCACAGAAACAGGGCACTATAGAAAGAGGGCTCTACCATTCCAAAAAGAAAAAAAAACAAAAAAACATTGAACATAATCTGGTTGCCAGGCCCCAGGTTAGGTGCTCAGACTATAAAGAAGGGCAAGATTTGGCCTTAAGGGGCTCCCAGCCTAGGAGAAGAAGAGAAAGGGAGATGACGGTGACAATGACAGAAAAGGCAAGGACAGATGGAGACACTTTTTGTGAAAGGAAGAGAAGGAGCTGCTGGGAAGGAGCCCTAGGGGTAGGAGGGAGAACTGGGGGTCACGCAGCTGGAAAGGTGGAAAGAGCCCAGCGACCAGCTGAGCTAGGGGCCAGCTCAGGCCATTTCAAGACCCAGAATATGCTGGAGCAATAGGTTCATTGCAGGGAGGAAGTGAGTGGGGTTTACCCTCTCTGCACACACATACAGCTGGACCAGGGAGGGCAGCCCTGAGGACAGCCTGGAAAGGGGGACTCACAAATAGCTTTCAGATGTCATCTGATTGATTCTTGAAAGGGTGTCAAGGAGGAGGGCAGCAGGGCGGGAGCTCAGCAGTCTAGCCAAAGGGTGCACCAAGCAAAACATTCGGATAGTGCTTTAGTCCCTATTGTGCAGAGTCGTCTAAGATCCAGGGATTCTCAATCTCTGGGTCTCTATCTCGTCCATTTCTGAGTTGAGGGAGTTGCAGAGAGACAGGGAATGCAAATTTGTTTTCACGCAGGCCCAAGTTAAGTACAGTTTTTATAATAATAATAATAATAGCAAACACTTACAGAGCACTTACCCTAAGCCAGGCTGTTCTAAGCACTTAACATGTATTAACTCATTTGCATAGTAAATCTACCAGGGAAAAAAATACTAGTGCATTTCAAAGCCAAACAAAAATGACTTTTGACTCTGTATCTTCCCCCCCCACACACACACACACACTCTGCTCTGAAGCAGATTCTGAGCTTTGACCACTGCTGGAAGTACTCTAAGCCAGCCCTCTCTTTTTTTTTTTTTTTTTTTTTTTAAATCTTTTATTTTTTTTTTTTTTTTTATAGAGGCATGTTTTTTTTATTTATTTATTTATTTATTTTATTTGCTTGTTTTTGTTTATACATGCACTGGGTACAGTCAGAAGCACGGGAGGGTGAGAGAATTCACCAGAGCCAGAGCGGGGAGCAGAGCAGGCAGAAGGACCGAAGTACACTGCTGAGGGGAGCAGCGGGCGGCAGGAGAGGTCTGCGCGCCATGTGGGACCCTCCTCTGGTGGCCGGGGAGCAGCCGGGGATCGAACCGGCGCCGCAGAGGCCACGGGCAGCTTCGCAACCCAGCGCTCAACCGCTGCGCCACCGGGGAGGCCCAGCCAGCCCTCTCTTTCTTGGGGGACCCTGAGGCAGAAGTCCTTGGGGGTTGAGTTTGGAAGCAGTTTGAGGAGCACTTGAATGACTCCAGATCCTGCTGGGCCCCCTAGGCTCCTTCCTTATCCTCTGAGCTGAAATGCTCCCCAGACCCAGTGCTGGGTGCTCAGGAAGAGAGGACATGACTGGTCCTTGGGGTGAGCGTGGCCCTCTCTCCCGGGACGTCTCTGTCTATCACCAAATCAGAATCTAAGGTGCACCTTAGGGAGGTTGCTAAGCCTGTCACCAGGGAACTAGTTACCATAGCAACAGAGGTACACGGGACCCTTGACATTCTCAAGCAATACATCATAGCCCTTGATGAGTCCACGGAGAGATACCACATAATTTCCCCCATGAAGTGCAGGGAAGTATGGCTGAGCCATGGAGTGAGGATGACCAGGGAGGGCAGCGCCATCTCCTTGGCTCTCCAGGGAATTTCCCTGAATCGTCCCCCCAGCTCTTACAAGTTAGCAACGTGTGCTCTTTTTTTTGGGAGGGGGTAGGGGGCTGTAGAGAATAAACCACTTTATGATAAACCCAAGAATGCTGCTTTTCCAATGACCGGTAATAAGGAGGGACTCGGGTTAAACACGAGAGGCTGAACGGGTCTGTGTTTCTCTCTGCTACCTCCCCAAACCACGCTAAACTAGAGCAGAGGACTGAAACAGCCTCCAGCTGACAAGCCAGGGCGAGGAGGCCAGAGCGAGTCGATGGTGTCAATACAATTGTGGAGGAGAAACGCCCTGACTGGGCTTGATAGAGACCCACGGACCCCCCAAAGCCAAGGAGAGGCTTTACCCTCCCTAGTCATCCTCACTCCATGGCTCAGCCATACTTCCCTGCACTTTATGGAGTCACTTTATGGAGATACTGAGGAGTCCCTAAGAAGTGGGAGCACCCCTGCCACAGGCCCACTGCAGGGCTCAGAGTCCAGAGTGGGAGAGTGATACCCCAGAGTGACTCCTCATTTCACCACAGAACTATCCCTGTTTTCCCCCAACAGCATCCTGAGGAGACCCAACAAGCACCCGCTTGGTGACATGGGCCCAAGAGTGTGTGGAGACGAGGCGATACTCTAAAAAGTGGGCATTTGCTGAAAGTTTCAAACCAGCAGGGGAAGCCCCTTGCCCTTCTCCCTCTGTGGGCTCTGGGGATGCTGCTGGCTGGGCACATGGTGACACTGGGGACCCCCAGCCCCTTCATGGTGAGTCCCCCACAGTTGACAGCTCTGCCCATGCACACAGGGCTCCTGGGCAACATGCAGATCCCTCGCTTGTAAATGTGAGCCTCTGCCACGGGCTACACACTCTCAAGGAAAGCATCTCGTATTAAAAAGCATCTATCAAGATAAACAGAAAACAACTCGAAGGAAACATGCTATGCAGGGAGCAAAGAAAGCGTGCAGCTTCCACTGCCTCAATTAACAGCCTCACAAAGAGGCAGGGGGGTTATCCCCACAGAACAAGAACAAGGGGCCACTTTAAAAAATGGAGGTATAATTCACGTACCATGAAATTAACTCTTTTAAAGTGTACAATTTAGTGGGTTTTAATGCATGCAAAAAGTTGTGCCACCACTATCTAATTCTAGAAAAAGCCCACAAGCAGCCATTACCCATTCTTTCCTCTCACGCCCCAACCCCCACGGCAACCACTAATCTACTTTCTGCCTGGAGATTTCCCTGTGTGGGACATTGTGTGAGTGACATAGACAATCGGTGGCCTTTGTGGCTGGCCTTTCACTGAGCATTTGTCATGATTCATCCTCATTGTCCAGGTTTTAATGCTTCCTTCCTTTTGACTGATTAGTGTTATATTATACGGCTGTTTCACAATGTATTTATCCATTTATCAACTAATGGACACGAAGGTGATTTTCACTTTTTAAGGAAATGCAGAAAGCACAGATGAGATCTTAGAAATTGAAAATATATTCCATTTCCTGAAATGAAAATAATTAACTTCCCAGGATTGCATAACCCACTGGGTGTCCAACAATTTGTGAAAAAAGACTTTCACAAAGATACACCACTTTGAAATTTCAAAATGTCAGGGATACAGGGAAGACTCTACAAGTATCTAGAAAGAAAAAGACAGGCTTTAGGAGAGCAGCAGAACCCTGAAAGCAAGGAAATAGTGGGAAAGGTCTTCAAACTTATGAGGGAAATTTATTTTCAATCTGAAGTTATATTTCCAATAGAGACATTTTTAAATTTATTTATTTATGCACACAGGAACTGGGGTACAGGCCAGAGGTGTTGGTGTGACAGGATTCACCAGAGACAGAGTGGGAAACAGAACAGGCGGATCAACTGAAATACACTGCTGAGGGGAGCAGCAGGAGAGTCAGGAGAGGTCTGCTGCGCCATGTGGGTAGCTCCCTGGCCGGGGATCAAACTCGTGCTGCAGTGGCTGCAGATTGCTTCATAGGTTGCATCTTAACCCCTTGTGCCACCAGGGAGGTCCACAATAGAGACATTTTTAAACACACAGATTTTCGGCTAAGTTAGCTTTTTCAAAATTGACTTGAGGGTGCGCTCCACCAGAACAAGAAAGATGATGTGAAACCCCAGGAGAAAGAGAGATACTAAGGATATTCAACACCCCAAGATGTCAGAACCGGCAGGTGCCAAAATGTTAACAATGGTAGCAATGGGTGGGAGAGGAAATTGCTTCCATTTTCTCCATGTTTTTCTATATGTTCTAATGTTTTCATAATGCCTTTTTATACCTAAATCACTACATAACTATTGGCAGACCCAGAGAGCCAGGGGCAGCAAGAGCAACAGAGGAGGATGTGGCACCTTGGGGCCCACCGAGTCTCCTCTTACCCCCCTGCTGGCACAGCCCTGAGCCATGTCAGACCCTTGTCTTTCTGTCTACCCTACTAGACTGAGAGCTTGCAAGGACAAGGAACTGGGTCTTGTTCATCCAGTGTGTGTGTGTGCGTGCATGTTGTGGATAGACACACATATAGATGGATGGTAGATTAGATGCCCAGAGCCTGGCAGAGAACAGGCATGGAATCAGTGCTGGGGTGTGTGTATAGAGAGAGAAAGCCAGGAGGAAAGAAGGAACCCCATCAAATGCAGACCATAAACTGGATGAAACCAGAGCTGGGACACCACAGGGCTTTAGAGACTTCAGTTTTATGTCACACAATCAGATGGGCTGCTAAGAGATCAAGGAAGGCCCCAGCCTGGGGCTCCCCTTAGGGCTTCCCAAACTGGGGTCAGGGGAGCCAACTCCTGGAGTAAATACCCCTGGGATTAGTCATTGTCTGAACTTTATCTCGCAGATCAGTCAGTAGCAGCCTTGAGTTCCAGGGTGCCCTTGCTCTAGTCACTTCCCTGGTCTGGTCTTCTTTCCTTCCACTGAAAAGAAAGGAAGTGAAAATGACCCTCTGGCCAGTTCTGACCTTCTGGGGCTCAACAGCCTCCCAGGAGGCTGAGCACCAACTCACCTTGCTCAGGTGGAGACAGAAGGCGGGCTGAGGGCCCTGCTTCCTGGTTACAGCTTCCATCTGTGGAGCAGCTACTGAAATGGCGCAGGGACAGGACTGCAAGGCCGGCTCTTCCCAGGAGACAGATTCTGGCCAGGTGGCACTCGCTGCCCACTGCTCCCATCAGAATCCCCTGCCAGAGCGCTAGTTCCATGGCAGGTTCCTGGGCTCCACCCCAGACCTGCAGAATCAGGGATCGGCTGTGTGGGCTGGGTATTTGCATGTTAACAAGCACTCTAGGTGATTTGTGGGAACACAGACTTGATAAACATAGGTTTAGGGGGCGCTGGGATTCTGGATGAGAGGTTCAGTGCTCAGAGCAGAAAGAGCTACCATTTATCCAGTACCTACTCCACGTGGGGCACATTTTGACATTTCTAATCTTTACGACTACCACCCTGCAAAGCAGGTATGATTACTCTAATTGTACGGAAGAGAAAACTGAGGCCCAGAGCAATTAACTTGCCACACATCACACAGATAATGAGACTAAGGGCACACATTTTCACTCCCGTCCTTCTTGGCGCTTCCATGGCACAGCTCCGGCTTCTTGCTTAGGGCCTGAACAGCAGCTTGCTGCCCCCAGAACTTGAGTGCCCTGCTGAACTGGCAGAGAGGAGGGTTCACGGGCAGGTAGAACACCCTGGGGTGGGGAGAAAGGTCAGAGCTGGCCTCTGTCCTACCCTGCTTCTCCTGCTCCCTGCCTCAGGCCTTCTTCAGGCCAGAGGCACTGTTTTGACGGGTGTGAAGCCATCCACCTCTGTCTTTCCGCTTTCCCAGCCTCCTATTTTCTCACTAATTAAAGAGGAGGAATAATTCCCCCTGCTGTGTGCTGCTGGCAGGGAGCCAAGCTCTGCTGGGGAAGGCAGCCCAGCACCTGGCAGGGAGACACCTGGGTGAAGACACCTGGGTGAAGGGGCTAGCTAGGGTCGCCAGCAGAGGGGAGAAAGTAGCCCAGGAACTGGACAGATGAGTGGCATTAAGCGCATTCACGCTGCCATGAGGCCACCCCACCGCTGCCATTCTAAAGTCAGGCGATTTTATTTAGTTTTATTGACTCCCTCCCCCATGCTGTATGTCTGGGTGACATTTATTTTATAACTGGAAGTTTGTACTCTTGATCCCCAATTCTTTAGCTAGGAGGCTGTGCGTTCTCACCTTCCCTGCCCCAGGCAGGCCACCCCACTCTGGGTCTGCTCCTGTGATGGCACCTCCTGGGATTCTCTGCGCTGTACCTCATCAGAAAACCCCGCCCACAGCCCCGCCCACAGCCGTGATGCTGGCTCTTCCCCAGCCTTGCAGTGACCCACCATCCAGTGAGTCCCGGATTCACTGAGGGCTTTGAGGTTTCCAGACTTCAGTGCTAATGCTGGTTCAAGTCTCTGTCCAAAGATTCCCTCCTGCAGGAGGCCTTCCCTGCACCTAGGCAAGCAGCACCAAGCTCTCCCTCTCCTAAACTAGCCCCCTATTGTCGCCCTAACAAATAGCCACACATCTATGAGCCATCTCGGTGCTGTAACCGGAAATCTGTCTGACCTGTCTAGGCTGGTTTCTGTCCTCCAGGTTGCAAAGGCCAGGCTGGACTCTGGAGCTCTGGGGAGGCTGCTGAGCTGGTCCAGGTGTTGCTTGGGTGCTGTGCGCAGCGGCTGCGGGACGGGCCCCGTTTGTTTGTGGCTGTCAGCTCCTCGAGGGGTTCCTCAACCCTGTGTTGGAACCAACAACAGGACAGCAAGTATCAGCCTGCCTGAGCCCCTCTTCTGTTGCTGTTGGAGAAAATTCTCTGCTTTTGAGGACCCATGTAATTAGATCTGTCCCTCTCAGGTAATCCGGCACGCCCTCCCTAATCTTAAGGTCCACAAGTCTAGTTACCTCTGCACTGCCCCTTTTGCCATGTGAGAGGTAAGACTCCGCGGGTTCCAGGGATGAGGGCGTGGACGTTCTCTGGAGGGCCAGTTTGATGCCGTGTTCCTTCAGGGCCCCTGTCGCTCTCTGGTGACTGACTTACATGCTTATTATCCACTATTTCCCATGCCTCTCACTGCTCCCCTCCCCCTACCACATAGCGCCACAATTGGTGATTGTGCCTGCATTGCCCACTGCAGTGTCCCTAACCCTCCTTCACGGTGCTTAGCACACAGTAAGCCTTTGGTGTTTGTTGAATGAATGCATGAGTGTTATGATGGTTGTTGGATGCTTAGTAGAAATGGAAACTCCTGGTAAGTCTAAGGAGACTTCCCAGAGCTCACCCATCGGCTGGGCACATGGCAGGTGCTCACACCAGGGAGACCCCTGCGTGCTAAAGCAATGCCGGCTTCTGACCAGCCACCTCCCCAGCCCTGCCTTTTTGCCAGTGTCCTCCCCGTCTCTCACCCAGGACCTCTAGGGTCTCAGTCTCTCCTTGTAGGAGTGTCCCAAGGGTAGAAGCCTGAAGCAAGGTGGAAGGGATGGAAGACCAGTCAAGGAGCCAGCAAGGAAGGCCTCAACTCAGCTGGGTTCAAAGCCAATCCACCTGGGACTTCAAGCAATTAATTTCCCCAATCTGCAAAACGATCAGCTTCTGAGGGAAAACAATTAGCCCACTGCAAATTGTAATTGTCATCTCACTTCTGATTTTAATTTGGACTAATGAGGGCTAAGTGATTCTGGCTCCCTCCCCTCCCGCTGCCCCCTGGCCCTGGGCCCTCACCTGCCACCGGGCATTTAACCCTTGGCTGCCCAGCTTGCACCAGAGGCTGAGGTTTGAGGGCTGGCACAAGGCCGGAGCTGGGCAGGGTGGGGCAGTTGCCAGCAGGAGGGAGATGAGAAGCGTGCCTTGGGCCCACAGGGGAGCTGCCTGTTTACAAGGCTCCTAGGCAATCAAAGTTTTATTGAATAGAATTGACTACTGGCTCACTCCTCTGTCACAGCCAGTTACCTCCAGCTGCGTGGTCTCCAGGGACCCGCTTCCAGAGCATCTGTCTGCCTCCTTTGGGCGGGCTACCTGACCAGGCCTTGCACTCCCCACTTCCCACCCCAGCCCTGGCCATGTGGGAGTGAGCAACAGGAGAAAGCTGGGGCACCGACCATCTACCATCACCGTCCGTGTGGGAGTGACCTTGGACCACAGTCTAACGCCCCTCCCACTCCTACTGAACAGCCCAGAGAGGGAAGGGACTCACTCAAGGTCACAGAGGGCAGGAACAGCCTCTCCTGCTGTCTTGTTTGCCTAATTGTGTTTCCCTGTGAGTATCTTTTCCTCTCTTGCTCCTGCTGTGTGCCCCACACAAGGCCTGGCAGTGCCCCCGATGTAGAAACAGGAGATTGCTAACCCCGAAGCACCCGTATATGTTCTCCCACCACCCTAGCATCCTTCCCCCATCCCTGGTCGCCTCATTTCTGCTTAGGTTGGTTGATTCATTCATTCTCACAGCAGTTCATTCATCACAGCAGCTGTCGGGGGGCCCCATGCTAGGTGCTGGCATGCTGAGACAAGTGGGATCTCCCCACCCCAAATGATGGCTACATCCTGAGCCACAGATGGGAAGGGGCCCAACCTTACTCCAGGGGCTGCTGAGTGATCCTGAGCTCACCCAGGTCCTTGCGTGTCGCTGCTGGAGGAGTCAGGCTTGGAGTCAGGAGTCCTGAGTTCTTGACCCCAGTTGGCTGACTCTCCTTCACCTGGTCCCTCTGTCTGGGTCCAGGGTCTTGGGAGCTGGAGCCCCCACCCCTGACTCTGTGATGGGGGGGGGGACCACTTGCTGCCCGCCCCACCTCCTTACATGCTGTGGAGAAGCATGGCCTGTGAGGGCCCTGGCCTGGTGGGGAGCAGCCTGTGTCCGGGCCTGCTACCCCCGGGCACCTGATGTGCCTGAGCCTCCAGCTCCTCACCTGGGGAGTGGGAAGCTGGGGCGCATCCACACAGCACAGAGGCCATGCAGGGGAGCTGTTTGCACACCAGCAGGTGAGAGCTGAGTGCCCCTTGGAGACACAGCCTGCCACAGGCCATAAGAGGACATCTCTCCCCACTGCAGCCGGGCATCCTCCAGGCCACAGCAGCACGTGGGGACACAGGAAGTGCCGGGGAACAGGAGAGGAAAGGATTCCTCTCTCGGCCTTGCTGCGGGGACACTGGATTGGGCTCCAGCTCGACAGGCCGCCATCAGCAGCTGAGCTCTGTCAGACCGCGAGGGCAGTCTCATGATAGGCTACTGCTCACCTGTGTCCTGCCTGGCCTCTCTCACTGGGCCCTGAGGGAAGGCGTAATTGGCTACTCCCCTCCCACATTGTCTTCTTTGCATTTCCCCCTCATCTGCCCCTGCCCACATCCCAAAATAGTTTTAGTCCTGTAGAAACTCTGTGGTGTTAGCTGCAGCTGCACTGTTCCTCCCCTGCCTGCACAGCTCCCATGCCCTTAGCCTGACCCAAGGGGAGGCCCGAAGCCTCACCCCTGTCCCTACCTTTTCCACAAAGAACTTGCTACCCCAGTGTGTTTGTCTCCCCACCCAGGACATTTGCATGGCAACCGCTGCTGCTGTGTGAGCCAGCCTCCTGCAACTTCTTGTGCATAGGCCCACACAGCTGTGAGAGGTGGTGTGCAGTCACCCCCAACAGCTGCCCCCAGCTTTCCCTTCCCCCTCATAGTTCACCCCAGTCCTTCACCATCTGCTGAATATCTCATACCTCCCTGTTGGGGGCATCTGCAGAAATGAAGGTTGCTCCTTGGAGAGGCGGTACTGGGCTAGGGTGAAGAGGGGACTTCTCCCAGCCCTGCTGTCACCTCTGCCACTTGCCCCCACCAGGATGCAGGTGAGGAAACAGGCCCACAGAGGTTAGGTGATGTAGCTTGGGGGTCCTAGAGCTTTGGGGAGGACTCAGAAGTCATCTGCTCATTCTCTTTATTTTGCTGCTGGGAAAACCGAGGTCTACAAAGGAATGCGTTTCCCAGACGCTCACGGAGGCGCGCAGGCAAGTTCAGCATGCAGCTGACTAGTGAGGCTGGGAGACCATTCAGCCCTGGCTCCCGGAATGGGGTGGGAGGTATTTATTGATCAGCCAGGTAGCTGGCATCATGCCAGGTGCTTTCCACGATCACTTTATTTAATCCTCACAACAAGTCTTGAGAACATCCTACTGTATTTTTACATTTAACAAGACAAGGAAATTGAGACAGTGCGACCAATTCACCCAAGGGGCCTCAAGCAAGTGGTGGAGGTGGAATTTGAACCAAGGTCTTTTGATCTGTGGTCTGTGCTAGCGCTGTCAGTAGAAGTATGCTACAAAACGTGTGTGATTTTTCACATCGCAGGAGCCACCGTAAAAGCATAAAAAGAAACAGGTGGAATTAATATCATTTTTAACCTAATATATCCAGAACATTATTTCAAGATGTAATCAACACGACAAATGTATTCATGAGATAGTTTGCATTCCTTTTCCATGTAAGCCTGCAAATGCTGGTGTGTGTTTACACGCTCAGCACATCCCGATGACAATGGCTGCCACATCTGGCTGCCTCTGTTCTAGCTGCCGCTCTGTTCTGCTGAGCCACAGGGTGACTGTCACCTGGCCGCTGCTGCCCTTGACTGCCTCCTGTCCTCAGAGTGCTCTCCTTCCCTCTCACCTGCTTCCAGTACCCACCCTCTCTCCCTCTCTGGCTCAGTCCTGGAGAAGGTCTTGTTGTCAGACACAGAAACTTTAAATAGGTGAGACAAAGGTGACAAATGTTCCTCATTTACATTCAGGTTCTATCTGGCTTTTTTGGCCCCATTGAATGGCACCTCTATCAAAACATCTCATTTGGAAATGTCAGAGTGGCTTTTGATAAGTCATCAGTCACCCTGATGGCGGCTGACAGCGGTAAGAGTATGGTGGTTTCTAACACACTGCGGAGCGCGTCTTCTGCAATTGCGTACGATTTTATTTATTCAACTTGGCATGAAGTCTCTCTTAAAGGAAGAAAACTATTAACCCTGCCACACCAGCTTCTCAAGATCTTCTTTTCCCCTTAACCTTCCAGTTTCTCTTTTGCCTCCTAGCTCCTTTCCTGCCTGGCTCAGAATCTTCCAGTCCCTGCGGGCCATGCTCCTACGCACCTCCACTCCCCTCTGGCCCCTCCAGCAGGAGTCAAGCCCGCCACCCTCATGGCGCCCCTGCAGGAGGCTGTGAACGCTGCTCACTGGTTCACGTCTCTGGCTTTGCATCAGGGTGCTGCGTCCTCAAACAGCTCCCCTGCTGAATTCCAGCCTCTCCACAGCCGGTTTCCTTCCCATTACATGGCAGGTGCCCCCTCCCTGGCCCAGCTTCCCTTCCGTCCTCCCCAGCTCCTCCAGCTTGCCAGTCAGCCGCAGCTCCTCCTCCTGAGGGCTGGCAAACCAGGGCCTCTCAAATTCAGGGGTAATGAATAGTTTGGGGAAGGGCCATTCATTAAAAACAAATGAAAAACAATCACAAGCATAAAAAATCCAGCCCCCCCCCATAAAAAATCCAGAAATCATAAACCCCAAATTCTTTCAGCTCATATATTTCTCATGAAAAATAAAGGCTCCCCAGTGATGAGATGGACTGGATCAGGCCAGCCAGCCTGGCCCACCCCTCCCTCATTTCGCTTGCATCTGGCATCCCCCTCTTTCCTCATCGTGGAGGGCTTCCCCAACCCCTCCTCACACTTCCTTGCCACTCTTTTGGAGTTGAGGCTTTGACCAAGGAGTGTGAGGAACCAAACT